GAAGGCGGAAATAATGAGCCGCTGTCTAATTCGGAATGATATCTGCAGGATCCATGAATGTTCTATTTAATAACATTTATCCACCGTGAGATGGGAGACGTGCCCTGCAATCCTCCGTGTCCCTCTCGGGGTCAGGCTCGGCTCCTTGTAGACTGGCGGCCACCACATGTCAGGATAATGGGGAGAAGAGAGAGAGAGATGGGGAGATGGGGAGAAGAGAGAGAGAGAGATGGGGAGAAAAGAGAGAGAGATGGGGAGAAGAGAGAGATGGGGAGAAGAGAGAGAGATGGGGAGAAGAGAGAGAGATGGGAAGAAGAGGGAGATGGGGAGAAGAGAGAGAGAGAGAGAGAGAGAGAGATGGGGAGATAGGGAGAAGTGAGAGAGATGGGGAGAAGTGAGAGAGAATCATACTCAGAACAGCTGCAGGATAAAGATGAATGTGTATGGTATGAGTAATTCCAGCTGATCCGGGGCAGTAGACAGACTGCAGTCTAAGTCCAACTAAGTCCAACTCTCTTCAACATTTACATCACACTATTGCTGAACCTAACCGCTACACGTACAGTGGCCTAGAAGCGAATCAATCAATCAATCAATCAATTTTCAAGCCAGCCATAGAGACCCTCAAAGCCAAGGCATGTAGAACCTTTTATGCCATCAGGAGACAGCTGTACCACCTAAAACCACCAGTAATAGTCTGGCTTTAAATCTTTGTCATCACTGCAATCCTCCTTCATGACAGGTATTGAAAGCCCGTCGCCTACTCAGACCAACCCAACAGAAATATTCCATTTGCAAATCTGCAAGAACTTCCTCCAAGTCCAACGGAGCACCTCCAACAATGCTTGCAGGGCAGATTCCCTTTACTGCTCTTAGTACAGGAGAGAGTGCTATCGTACCGGTTCCAGTACAGGAGAGGGCGTCATCATCTGGGAGCAGTAAAGGAGAGGGCGTCATCATCTGGGAGCAGTACAGGAGAGGGCGTCATCATCTGGGAGCAGTACAGGAGAGGGCGTCATCATCTGGGAGCAGTACAGAAGAGGGCGTTATCATATTAGGAACAGTACAGGAGAGGGCGTCATCATCTGGGGGCAGTACAGAAGAGAGCGCCATAATCTGGGACCAGTACAGGAGAGTGCGCCATCATCTGGGACCAGAACAGGAGAGGGCGTCATCATCTGGGACCAGTACAGAAGAGGGCGTCATCATCTGGGACCAGTACAGGAGAGGGCGCCATCATCTGGGACCAGTACAGAAGAGGGCGCCATAATCTGGGACCAGTACAGAAGAGGGCACCATCATCTGGGACCAGTACAGGAGAGGGCGTCATCATCTGGGAGCAGTACAGGAGAGGGCGTCATCATCTGCGAGCAGTACAGGAGAGGGCGTTATCATACTGGGACCAGTACAGGAGAGGGCGTCATCATCTGGGAGCAGTACAGAAGAGGGCGCCATCATCTGGGACCAGTACAGGAGAGGGCGTTATCATACTGGCACCAGTACAGGAGAGGGCGTTATCATACTGGGACCAGTAAAGGAGAGGGCGTTATCATACTTGGACCAGTACAGGAGAGGGCGTTATCATACTGGGACCAGTACAGGAGAGGGCGTCATCATCTGGGACCACCTACAGAACAGCAGCCCCAACTCATACCACCATAAACCCTACTGACCAACGAGGACCACTCCAAACCATGCGGCCTCCAACAACTCATCACCACCTTGTCCATCCAAAGCTCCCATAAATGTGGCCTGACAACATCTCAAATATAGGACATCATGAACAATCCCAAAGAAAAGCATGTCAGAGAATGGAGAAATGTAATAACCAACTCCCAGAAACCAACTATTTACCAGTCACTACAGAGAGACTACCAACTGGACCCATACCTGGAGATGGCACAAGACCCCAAAGACAGACAGATCCTGAGCCTGTACAGACTGAGCGCCCACAATTGTTGTTTGCTTCCTCCTTTGTTCCATCTCAGTGCTGTTGGTCTCCTGCAGCCTCTTTGCAGCCACCTTCTGTCTACATGCACTCTAGCAATAGATGCACGGCATTTCTCAGGAAGGGTTTCCTGATGGTGACAACAGTGGACCGCGTGTGCTGAAACGGGCACTTGTAGTAGGGTTGCCACCTGTCCAGGATTCACCCGGACAGTTCGGGTTTTGAATGTTGTGTCCAGGTTTCATGGCAAACCCGGACACAAGATGTCAGGCAGACGTGGTGGCACCCCACTGAAAATAATCTTGACTGTGATATTTACATATTAATGGGTGGCGCTATTTACATATGAATAAGCCGCGGCTCATTCTCCCCCCAAAAATTCTGTGCATCGCTAGAGTGTTCGGGTTTCACTGGATGGAAAGGTGGCAACCCTAACTTGTAGTCTCCATCAGTAGTCCGTGTGACAGGGTGACAACACTGGAGCCCAGTTGGGAGCAAAGGGCAGAGCATTGTCACCCTATAACAGGAACTGTTTGAACAAGGGCGAAACATTGTCACCCTAAAACAGGAAGTGCTTGAACAAGGGCAGAGCATTGTCACCCTATAACAGGAAGAGCCTGAACAAAGACGAAACATTGTCACCCTATAACAGGAAGTGCCTGAACAAGGACGAAACATTGTCACCCTATAACAGGAAGTGCCTGAACAAGGACGAAACATTGTCACCCTATAACAGGAAGTGCCTGAACAAGGACGAAACATTGTCACCCGAAAACAGGAAGTGCCTGAACAAGGACAAAACATTGTCACCCGAAAACAGGAAGTGCCTGAACAAGGACAAAACATTGTCACCCGAAAACAGGAAGTGCCTGAACAAGGACGAAACATTGTCACCCTAAAACAGGAAGTGCCTGAACAAGGACGAAACATTGTCACCCGAAAACAGGAAGTGCCTGAACAAGGACGAAACATTGTCACCCTATAACAGGAAGTGCCTGAACAAGGACGAAACATTGTCACCCTATAACAGGAAGTGCCTGAACAAGGACGAAACATTGTCACCCTATAACAGGAAGTGCCTGAACAAGGACGAAACATTGTCACCCTATAACAGGAAGTTGGAAGGGGAAGGGGAGGGGCCAGTGATACATGAGGAGGGAACTGTGTGGGCGGTGAATTGTCTGAGAACGTGATGGTTGAGCGGTCAGGTTGAGGTGGGATCAGCTTCCCTGAGCAGATGAGTCTTTAGGGAACGCCTAAAGGCAGTCAAGGTGGGAGATAGACGGACGGGTTTGGGTATTCACCATTGTATTCAATTGCGCCCGGGCACACCTGAGTGTTGTGTACATTTTTCGCACCAAAACATACATGAGTTTTTTTGGGAAGCAAAATTGCACATTTTTGGCTCTTATAGACTATAACGGGTGCTGCACTGGCTAGAACAAAAACACTCAAGCCTAAAAATGTGCAAAAATGTACAACAAATGCCTGTAGAATGGTGTAAAAAAAATGTAAAACGCACACATGCGCATTATTGCAAGCTACATGGGTTTTTCAGTGCATTACGTAACAAATTTTTGGGCGTTTTTCTGCGTTGGAGGCCCATTCTTTCCAATGGGCTGCCTTGAAGGAGAACTATGAGGGGGGAGGGGCTTTTCACTCACCTCATAGTTCTAGCCGACCGGTGACAATGAGACTCTCACAGGTCGGCTCAGTAGATCGGGAAGTGAGGGAACACATACCAGCGTTCGCTCACCTCTCAATCCTGTCACGGCTCTCTGCCGTGACGGGGGGAGGGGCTGGATTCCCCCCTCCCCGCTCCGATCTGCCAGCGCTGACTGGCGGAATGGACGGGGGAGGGGGTGGGTACAGCTGGCTCTGCCTCTAGATAGGCAGAGCCAGCTGTCAGTCACGCAGCTGGGCGGATCCAGACACAATTGTCGGGATCCGCTTCAGCTGCGGTGTCTCAGTATACCGCGAGCTGTAGCTCCCTATATACTGAGCTTAGGGTGACGGGAGGACGCTAGTTTGTGTCCTCCCGTTAACCTAAGGAGAACTATGGGGAAAAGCCCTGACCCCATAGTTCTCCTTTAAAGAGGAACTCCAGGTAATATTTGTATTAACCCTTGCAGTGGGGTGCTACCCTTTAGGTGCTAGGTTAAAAAAAAGATATAAGTTATACTCACCCAAAGCTCTGAGCTGCTCTCTCCAGTCTCTCTATCCATACACTGCAGCATCAGAATGTCCCTCCGCGTCCTTACATCCTATGCACTGTGTATAGAACGGGATGATTTAGGGACCTTAGCCACTGCGAGGGACGGGGGGCGAGGCTGTAAGGACCGGTCTTAGAGCAAGCCGGCTCTGAGGGTCCAGCGAGTATAACTTTTTGTAACCAGGATAAAAGCAAACAGTTAACCCTTGCAGTGCGGGGGTAGCCTAACTGAAAGGGTTAATAAAAATAATCCTGCAGGTTCACGTGCGACATATCACATCACGGTGCTTTATAACCTTTGTTTAAATGGCACTCAATGTAACTCTATGCGCAGCAGTTTGGCATGCTGTGTTTGGATAAAATGCATACCCGCATCATTTCATCACACCGCACACCTACGCAGCGCGGCGGTGTGAACAGACCCTGCACAAAGCTTCCTTCCATGTCTTGGCATCGGGCAACGGGGCTGGTGAGCAATGTGGTTGCATTGAGAGTCATTTCGCAATGAGACTTCCATCGTGTGCGAGGCTGGGAGATAAAATTAGGAATTGCTTTTTCCTTGACTGCCTATAAAGACAAATCTCCATTCTATTAAAGGTCCGGCGGATCCCCAGACCATCTCCGTCCCCTGGAAACCGAGGTCCCCCCCCCCCCCCCCCACCCCCCACACC